GGACTGAGGTCGAGGTAAGAGCCAGTGGCTGGCTGTTTTGCCTTTTGGATCTCCAGGTTGAATTCCAGTTTCTGTCTGAGTTTTTATTAGTTGTGCTTCATTTTGGTTAATTAACTTTATTCTCTGACAACTTCAAGTACGCATGTAGTGCATCTGATCACACCCTAACCCTCTTTCAAACTTCTCTGCCAGTCCCTCTGCTTTCATGGCCTCTCATTTTGTGGTTGCCCACATGAAGGTTAAGCATGGGTGTGGGGCTACGGACTTGAGCACAGGGTACTCAGTAGTGACCTCACCGCAGACAATGACTCCTCTTCCCCTCAGCCACCATCAGCAGCCGACCGTTCCCCCATGGCCCTATCCCCAACCCACGCCTGAATGCTGATAGGCCCAGGCCTGGGAGAGCCCTGTGTAGACAGCTGCTGAGAGTTAATGGGGGCAGTGGACATGTCATGCCCGGAAAATAGCATCTCACAGCCCTCTTTCCTGTTGTCCGACGTGAAAACCAACGGTCCTGTAGTGCCTGCACAACAGGGCCAGTTGCGCGAGCCAGGAACCAAGCTTGAGACTTAAACATACAAAGACACGCAGAGAGACGGAGACATGGGTCACTCTTGATATAAGAGTGCCAAGTTTAGTGTGCTCAGGGGGAGCTTATATAGGGCTCTGGCCACGCCCCAGCTTTCGGGATCTTCCAGCTGCAGACCCACCAGCCTGCCATCAGGGTCTCGTGCTCAGAGCAGCTACAAGCATAGGAAAAACAAGCCGCTCACAGGGAATTCAGGGTGCGGGGGTCCACAGCCCCCAGTAGTTCCCAACAGTCAGGCTCTTACATTGTTTCTGCTCCATCTCCCATTGTGTTCCCTGTGATAGGGCTGTCCCTTTTAAGGCAGAGCTTTCAGCCGTCACTTGTGTCTATCACTGACTAGTTATGAGTGCATTTCCCACATCAGAGCAGCTTCTTTCCCTGAGGCTGAGACCAGCACTAATCTATGGGTGAAAATATAAATATTTAGAAGGAGGTCTGGCAATGTGTCTGCTTAACAAGACAACAGTAGTAGGTTCTCCGATAAGGCCTATGACCTCCCCAGCCATGGGCTTTCGATTAGCTTTACAGAACGGGACATGCATTTCCTCCTGCGGGCCAGACAGTGGTTGGTTAGCTTCACAGCCTTGTCATACTTCCTGGCAGGTCTGTGTTGTCACCTCCAGGGCCATGGCTGGGTAGGGCCATTGATGATCTCTCCCCTCCCCCAGCTCTGTGGATTGCGTTTTCTGGTGCTATGTAAAACTATCCAGCAGGGAGGGAACCTCCAGGTCGGTTGCAGCTTGGTTTTTCTGTGTCCTGCACAAAAGTGACTTATCTCCAGCAACAGAGCTCTCCCATGTAGTTCTGGTGGGCAGCATAAGCAATGGGAACAGCCTGTGTTGTTTGGGGAGCCTCTGGAGTACCCCACACCTACGCTGAGGGTTCCAGTATCTTTGAGAGTGACAGTCATTCAGTGCTTCCCACTGAAAAGTTGAACATTTGAAAATGGGCTTGCAACTTTGATCTTCATGGACAAGAGTGTCCTGGCATGAGAAAGAGTGCTTACTGATAAAGATGGTGGAATTTTAATGGCATGCTAATGAATACAGCAAACCTTGGGGTGTGGATGCTTTTGTTCTCAGACCTACTTTTTGAGCCCTTCCTTCTGGATTCTGGGGAAAAAGCCTCATTAAGAAAGAGAATGCTCCTGTCAGGTATGGGGGAGTTCATCTCTCAGGTCTCAGAAGGCAAAGGTGGGAGGAGCATGAGTTAGGAGCCCACTAGACAACAGATATTGTAAGACTGTATCCCAAGCAAGCATATGAACACAGCAACAAAGTAAAACAAGGGGCTGCTTGGTGGTAAAGAGCTCTTGTTACTCTCTCAAAGGACCTGAGTTTGGGTTCTCGGACCGGTAGTGGCTTACAATCATCTGTAACTCCAGCTACAGGGGATCCACGTCTTTCTTCTGACCTCTGCAGGCACCAGACCTGCATGTGGTACACATGCATACATGCAGGCAAAATACTCATATACATAAAATAAAAAATAAAATCTAAAACAAATAAGAAAATATTTTAAAATTAAGAAAGGTTTAAGGGGGCTGAAGAACACTTGTTGCTCTTGCAGAGGATCTGGGTTTGGTTCCCAGTGGCTCACGGCCATTAGTTACTCTGGTTTTAGGGGACCCTTTTCTGGCTTCCGAGGGCAATGCATTCACATGGTGTACGTACATGCAGGAGAAATACCCACACATATAAAATAAATGCCTCTAAAAATTGCTTTTAAAATTTCCATTCGTCTCCAAGCAGACAGTCTCAGAGGTCTTGTCTCCATCCTTCAGAGAAGGATTCTCCATGCCCACCTCCTCATGCCATGAAGGGACACCCTCATCTCTCTAGGAGGAGCAGTAGGTTGGTCCGATTGGTGTCAAGTGGCAGGTGTGTTACTGGGCTAAGCAATCACTTTTTGATTAGATTTGGGGAGAAGCCCACGGCTGAGGAGGTCAGAGGTCCTAGTGGAGAAGGACGGCTGTCTTGCTTAGTGGATATGACGCACCCATCTCCTTGCCTTCTAAGCAGTTACGTTTCTCCTTGTAGACTCGTAGTGTTGCCCGCTACATTGTTTGGAGGACTTCTTGTTGTGGTGGGCAGTGGTAACGGAAGAGATGTGAAACTGGTCAAAATACTGAGAACCAGAAACTGTGTCACCTGCTCCAGTGCTCAGAGAGCATTGGCGAAGAGAGAGCAGAAAGATGCTCAGAGCCAGAGGACGGCTTGCAATAGTGTAGAATGTTGTCTTTCAGCGATAAGACGGCCATGGAGGGAGGAAGGGCGCACAAGACCCCACCACTCCTTAGGATTTATACAAGAGAGGGAAAGACGTTTTCTTCAGGGGGATAGCTGAAGTGGGGGTAACTGGTAGGTGCATATGACCCTGAAAATAACCTCTCACCTACAGTTCTGTAGGCAACTCTGATGAAATGCATTGGTTCACGAGAGAGAGAGAGAGAGAGAGACAGAGACACAGAGACACAGAGAGACAGAGACAGAGACACAGAGAGACAGAGACAGAGACACAGAGAGGAAAAAGACTTGGAAGTATAAAGGGGTGGTCAGGAAGAGGAAGCGGTCCGTGTGAGTGGGAGGGACAAGGGAGAATAATGGGGGTGGATGAGTAGAATCCACTGTGTACACATATGAATGTTATAACCAGGTGTACTACTGGGTTTAAGATGTGTGAGTCATGTGTGCTGCTGTGGGTGCTTTGAACTTGTGGACTGGTGTGTGATCTATCTAGTCACGACCCACCCACTCCTCACATTGGTCTAGTTCCTCACTCACAGGTGCAGTTGGAGCCCTCCCGCTGACTTCAAGGAAGGGCCTCTCTCTAAGAAGAGGGCAGCCATGTACACCCTCTCCTCTCCTTGTCACTGGGGCTGGCAGGCACAGCTGACTATGGGTTGCCCTTCTTTTTCTCTTTTAAAAACTTGGGACAAGTTCTTACTGTGTAGCTCAAGCTGGCCTCTGACTCACCAACCTCACGTTCCCCCCCCGCCCCCCCCCCCCCCCCCCCCCCCCCCCCGGAGCTCAGATGACGGCCGCACCTGACATATCATTCTGCTTCGACCCTGGGACTGAGGCAGGAGAATAGAATAACATTTTCCCGGAGCGTCCAGGTCCCTGTGTTGCTTACCAGGGAGGCCCCATGCCCTCCCGAGTACCTGGGACTACTGGGACCACAGGTCACTGCGCCCGGCTCCCTCCAGGGACTGTCATAGATCCAGTCGGGTGACAGTCTTCAAATGGTCTTCCTGTCTCTGGGGCACAATTTTTCTGTTCGCTTCTCTGGGTGGAAGGAGCTAGAGCCCAGTGCAGACACTGCTCAGTTTGTCCTCCCACTCCTCTTACTTTTGTTTTTGTAAATCTGTAAGTCGCCCACTCCATTCCAGCACAACCTTTAAAACTTAATTAAACCTTCCGTGTGTGCACCATAGTACGTGTGTGGAGGTCTGACAACAACTTTTTTTTTTAAATTTGTTTTTCTGATCTTTTGAGACATGGTTTCTTTGTGTAGCTCTGGCTGTCCCAGAACTCACTCACTAGACCAGGCTGTCCTGGAACTCAGAGCTCCACCTGCCTCTGCCTCCCGAGTCACGGGATTAAAGGCGTGTGCCACCTGGCCTGAGAACAAGAGTCTTCCTTTTTCTTTTGTGGGTCTGGGGCATCAGGCTAAGGTTGTGATGCTTGTGCAGTAAACACTTTTACCCACTGAGCCTTTCCACTGGCCCCGTTTATTAAATGGTGCTGAGATTATGCACTGTGAGGTGCCGTCTCTTACGGGCTGTGGCCTGACCCGTTGAGGGCTTATGGAGTCGTCAGTACGGTCAGTGCTTTCTTTCCCACTTCAGTGTAGTCCCACAGTACCTGGCAAGTATTTGGCGAATTATTCTGGAATGAATGACAGTGTCTGAGCTATGGCCCCTCTTCTCCACACTTCTGATATTCGTTTGAGAATTCCCATGCCCAGTAGACTCCAGGGACCGTTCGGTTAAGCAGCATAGAACAGGCTAAGCCGGAGACTCATATTTCCCATGAATTCCGGTGCCCTGAACAACCTCAGCGGTTCATGCCCAAATGAGCAATGTGTGGATGCACGAGGAACAACTGAAATAAGCAGAGACAGTAATGACAGGATGCTTGCCAAACAAAGGATGATGGGATTTCTCTAACTCAGATAAAAAGCCCAGACCACAAAACAGGAAATGAACATGGGCAATTTTCATTTGCTTAGATTATGGTTTTAAAGGAAGCATGTTGAGCAAACTCAATTTATAGTTACCAGTTTTACATTTATAAAGTAGACATTACCTTTATTATATTTAATGTGATATTAGGCACAATTATATCATTCTACATGAGGTAAAGTTGATATAACTACCTTGTAGTTACATCCGTGCTTACTATCAGGCTCACGACTGCCGGCTCCAAAGTGGTTCGTGACATTTATTATAATGATTTCTTTTTTTTTTTACTGTGCAAGTGTGAAAGGGACTTCTCCTGGTGATGGGTGCCCCACGATTTCTGTATCTCCAGCAATATCAGGCAGGACTGTTCCAAGGCCTCTCACTAGGCTTCAGGAGTTCCTAGTTTTCAAAAAATCTCTCCAAGTTATAATGCCCTAATGACAAATATTCCATGATCCTCCTTCCTGGGTTGTTTAGCAGGAGAGAGACCCAGCTCGACTTGTGGTAGTATATTTCATCTTTCCGCAGAGCCGTTCCCTTGATGATCTCCAGAGCACATTCCTCCTTGGGGGCGGCTTCGGCCGTGAACACGCCAGAGGTTGCCTTCATGGCTGTTTCTGTGGGACCACAGAAAAGACTGGAGTTATTCAGGGTTAGCAGAGCTTAAGTGACGGAGACTCCTCGACCCCTAACTGTTAGGTACCGTGTGCGCATGTCTGAGCCCTATAGGCCCTCTGGGGGACACTTGGTCAACTGGATATGCCAAGTGTGGGCAAAGGGTCTGTGGGGCAGTGGAGATGACAGCTTGGGGGTCCAGATGCTCTTCTCTGGGTGCTTTGGTTGGGGTGACACACTAACATGGGGGGTGCAGAGTGAGATGAAGGAGCTGGTGTAGAATGTAGATGGCAAAGGAGAATGTGGTGAGACTGTGACCCTCTGCTTTCCAGACGGGAAGAGTGGAACCAAGCTTTGGCTCTGTCCCAGCCCTGACCCAGCTGCAGAGAAGGAGCTGGCAGGAATTATTCTGTCTTCCTCCGTGGTCATGCCCTTCAGGCACACCTTTCCTCCCTTCTTCTCCATGCTATTTGACTTCCAGTTCTGTTCTCACTACTTAGTCCTATTTATTTATTTATTTATTTATTTATTTATTTATTTATTTGGCTGACAAGGTCTTGTGTAGTCCAGGCTGACCTCAAACTCAATATATAGTTGAGAATGACTCTGACTATCTGATCCTCCTGGATCTACCTCCTGAGTGCCGGGATTACAGGTGTGTCCCACCACACAGTGTGGGACTAGGAATCACACCCAGGCCACATGAGTACTAGGCAAGCACTCTAACAATGGAGCTACAGCCCAGATCATCCATCACTCCTGAAGCAGACATTTCTCACAGCTCTAGATGTATGTTCTAGATAAATGTGTAAATATCGAAATCACTGTTCCTATAGTTACCTCACCTTTCCTGAATATCACGCAGAGCCCTGTGTAATGACCAGAAATGAGTACCGTAGATCTAGTAGATTCAGCACAATGTCACTGGCTTTTTTTTTTTTTTAAAAAAAAAACTAATTTCCCCTTTATGCTCTGGGATTGTGTCCATGAGCACACTCAGTACTAATTTCTCCATTTTTTTCTTAGACTGTGAAGGTTCTTTTCTCTCTCTCTCTCTCTCTCTCTCTCTCTCTCTCTCTCTCTCTCTCTCTTCCTTCCTTCCTTTCTTTCTTTTTTGTTTTTCATGGCCTTGATTCTTTGATGAGTACTAATTGTTGTTTCTAAGGAGTGTCTCTCAGTGTATCACATTGTGGGGCTCATGAACCTATGTCTCCTTACTGCTGAGTCCAGTAAGAAAAGGACACAAGTGTTTAGTGTCTTCTAGTCATTGACAATGACCATGAGGAGTTCGTGCAGGCATAAGGAGCTCAGGGTAGAATATACTGAGTATGGTGTTCAGAATAGAAAGGAAGGTCAAATGGACTAGACTCCACCAGTGACCAAAGTGCCTGATTAAATGATGGGCATGGGGCTTCTAGCTGTGGTCTCTGATGCATTCTAATGTACTTCTGAGAAGGACAAAACCCTTTTTCTACATGGTAAAGCTGATGGACCAATTTAAGGCCATTGTTCCTTTCCTTACCTGTGTCTATGAGGCCAAGGACACAGAGAGTGATGGACACGTTCACCTTGGCTAGTGAATGTTCTTGTCTGATGGTAGAAAAAAACCCATCCAGAGCAAACTTGGTTGCCGAGTAGGGAGCAATCAAAGGCTGGGCCATTTTCCCTAAATGACAAGAGAAAGAAGTTTTTAAATAAGGATCCAGTTTGTCCTCAGACTGAACAGGGTTTGACTTGGGGGGGGGGGCTGGCAACCCCTGAGGGGTCTCCTTCCTTGCCCACTGAGTCTCAGTTTCTCACTAGACCCTAAATTATCTCAGGGATATCCGAAGGCAGGTTTGGTGGTTTGAGTGAGAATGCCCCCTCCCCACAGGCTCAGTCCCCAGTTGGTGAAATGCTTGAAAAGTTTAGGAGGTGTGGCCTTGTTGGAGCAGTGTTGTTGAAGGGGATGGGCTTTGAGGTTTCAGAAGCCCACACCAGGTCCACTGCACCCCACCCCAACCGATCCTCAGGATTAAAACTCTCAGCTGCTTCTCCAGTACCACCATGATGATAATGGACTAACCATCTGAAACTGCGAGCAAACTCCCAATTCAATGCTTTTTAATTTAATTAATTAATTTATTTTGAGAGTTGCCGTAGTCACGGTGTCTTGTCACCCACAATAGAGTGGTAACTGAGGCAGGACCAATAGCATACAGGGTGAGCTGCAAAACAGACGTCACTGGAAAGAGATGCTAAGCAATGAGAGGCAGCGAGCTGGGCTTCAAGACAGACATGTGTTCTTACAGCTGCTGTCTCCAGTGCTGATCCTGGCGGACCAGCTCAGTGGCTGTTTTCTCTCTGTGTGGGGGGATGAAACACCTGCGTTTCAGTTTTACACAAAACCTGAGCTTCCATCATATCAGTCAAGACCCGTTCCGGTCTTCTGAGGCGAACATAGACATAATAGGGTGAGCATCTCACATGCTCTGTGGGTAGAACAGACGTGAGCTGAGAATGTGTGTACTTCTGAACACTGATAGACAGACTAAGACATCCTTGTCTGCTAGTTCTGGAGGCGGAGCCAGTTCAGGGTCCATTTTTGCGGACAGCTTCCCTTCTCTTGAACGTGTAACACTTTTTCCTTGTATTCTGGAAACTGAGCAACGCATTGCAGAGTCCTCTGGAATTGTCTCATTCCTCCAAAGAGGGTTGGTTAACTGTTCTGCTTAGTGAGCAGTTAACCTGGCTGAAATATATCTGGCCACTTGGTATCTGCATCACTGTGAACAATCAGCAATCCAGAGAAAGGGATATAGTACAGAGACCCAGGATTATGTGATGTGTCTCCAAACAGTACTCATTTTTCTTCTAAAATTATAACAATCATAGACGTCTGAGAGAATGTGACATGCAGCCAGCAGAAGCACTAGCCCTGGGTGACAGCAGGCAGACACTTTGCTTCTCTGACTGTCCTAGACCCTCTAACAAATGCGTATTTCTGCCAGCCGGGGTGCTGCCGATCTCTCAGTACGCCTCTTTCATAGCAGCGGAACCCAGTTCCTATCGTGGGCACACAGTTATCCAGAGTGAAATGGGTGCCTCACAGTCCTCTCTGCCCGTTATTGCTGAGCGGCTCAGCTCCATACAGGGGCAGAAGGAAGTCTCTGCCTTCCATTCTGTCTTCTTAGGTGTCTGAAGGTGGCTGTGATAGCCATGGCTCCTTGAACCGTGAGGTAGCAGGCACACGTTGAAGAAGACGACGCAGAGTCACAAGGGAGACACGGTGGCTTGGAGCGGCCTCACCAGCTCCGTATCACCAGCAGACAGCCCTGACTTAACTTTCTCATTTGCTTAGCCCACCGCTGTTTTTAACTTTCAACACTTGAGAGCTGGACTCAAACCTTGTTATGGATAGACCACGTGAGAGAAGGAAGCTGGCATCGCTGAGGCTCCACCCCTTTACCCAGGACTGCTACAGGAATGGGCATGTGACCCAGTTTGGACCAATGAGACAAGGAACTTTTTGTTGCGGGGCTCAGAAAGTTCTTTTCCCTCCTGGAAGCTTCTGAGAGTAGGGGTCCTATTTCTCTCCTGATGGACACTTTGGGCATTAATATGGGGCTAGAATTGCTGCAGCTGAGTGGGAAACCATATGGGGAGGCAAGCGGAGCCACGAGGATCATGGGACACAGCTTGAACTGGGTCATCTGTGAAGCCTGCCCTACATTGGAACTCCAAATCCGTCAATAATTTCAGTTAATGTTTAGTCCAAAATTAGATCCAAAATATTTATAGGAATAGTTTTTGATTAAAATGTGAACTTTAGGGAACAGGTAGCATGGATATAAATCCCAAGCGTGGCATTTCCTAGCTACAGTTTGTGAATAATACCATCATAAAGCTGAAATAGCCACGTAATATGCTTAGCATAAACTGTGACTCTGAGAAGACACTCAGAGAATGCTGTTGTCGTCAACAGAATTAGTATTTAAATCAGCAAAAAAATGTATGAGCTATTCAGAATATCCTGTTGGGACAAATAGCTAATTACTCAGAGGAGTGGAAAAATGACCCCGTCATAAATGAATGCCAACCACATTAGAGAGGATATGTGGGAAGTAGGATAGCAGTAAAGAGAAGCAGGAGTTTTCCATCTCAACAGACACTTAACTCGGGAAAGCAGGCGCACTTGGTGAAAGGAAGGGCAGGAGGGCAGACGCAAACCTTGGAAAGCTGTCTGGTGCTGGAGACGACCACCTTGCCCTTATATGTGCACGTTCTTCAAATGGACCCCTCTCCTAGTCTTAAAGGGCGAGCCAGCCACAGACAATGTGCACACCGGCTTAAACTCATGCCATGGCCCCTTTCAAGAAAGTGAAATGAATGACAGGATCCTAATTACGGCCACTTGGTTTTGAGCTAAAAAACCAAGTTATGTAAGGCTAGGACAGAGAGCCACTGTTCAGATACGAAAAAGGGTAAGTTATCAAGGGCAGAGGTGTGGAGCACAGCAGCTACAGGGGCTGAGGTTAAATAGTTGCTAACTTTTTTTTTAATTTGTATATCTCATTCTAAAGTTCAAAGGCTGAATAATTATTCAAAGTTGAAAGGTTGGTGAGAACAAACAAGACTCAGATCTGTTTTTCATGGGCCACTCTTACACTCTGATGTTTCCTCTACTGTTTCCTTTATTTTTCTTTTATTATTATGATTATTATGGTTTTATTTTGATTGCCATTACTGGGCCCCTGTTCTTTATATCCACATTTTCCAGGAATCACGTGCTAAAAGCAGTTCCAAACCCTCTGTGTTGGGGAAGTTTTCTTTGGTCTGATGTTTAAGTCCTAAACAGACAAACTTTATGACCACCAGTATTATTTTCACTTTCAGATTACAGGCGAAGTCACACACACAGGCTGGTCACTCTTGGCCCTGTAGATTTGCTTCCTAGGGCATCATAACAAATTAGTCACAAGCATGATATGGTCACAGTGGGTCTCAACCTTCCTAATGCTGCACCCCTTGAACCCAGTTCCTCATGCTGGGGTGAACCCAAACATAACATTATTTTGTTGCTACTTCATGACTGTAATTTTGCTACTGATATGAATCATAATGCAAATATCTGATATGCTACCCCCGTGAAAGGGTAGTTCCACACCCCAAGGGCTTTGACCCACCACAGGTTGAAAACTGATGGTATAATCCCTCCTCCCACAGCTCACTGACCAAAGCCCAGCTGTGGACTCCAGCCCCTCACATAGATACCTTGATCCTGGCTTTTTCACTTTCCTTGTGCACATTCTATTCCCATTCCTCTCTCTTTTGTGTCTCTACAAGACCTCTTGATATTGGAGTTAGGCTCACTCAGAGAATCGGAGATGATTTCATCTGGATATCTGAGTTATATTTTTGAGGACCCTTGCTCAGGTAAGTTTATGCTCACAGGTTTCCGGGGGACATTTCTTCTGGGGACAGTCTCTTGTCACCTACTATACCTTCCTTAGTTGTAATGAGGATACAGACTGTGGCAACTGACGTGTTTATTCCTGGGTGTTAACGATTGAGCTATGGAAACAAGAAGCCATACAGGGCCTGTTTTTGGTTTGTTCATGAAACTCGCTCCATCTCATGCCCCATCTTTTAACAAGCTGTAGGTTATATCCACATGCCCAGAGCTGCATCCTAAGTGGTTTTCAGGAGAAAAGGAAGGAAGTGAGAAAAGAGAGGGAGAGGAGAAAGGAGAGAGGCAGGGAAGGAGTCAGAAGCGGCACAGGTTTCCCTGAAGGAGTCACAGCGTCACATACGGGATCTTGTTTTTCTGTCGCTGCAATGAAACTGGCAGAAGCCACACGAAGGAGCAGGGGTGTGTTCTGGCTCTCAGTTCAGATTACAGTCTCTCATGTTAGAAAGTGTGACAAGAACTTGAGGCAGCCAGTCACATTGAATCCGGAGTCAAGAATCAGAGACAGAAGAACACAGGCATGCTGGTGCTCAACTGTGCAGTACACAATACTAGTCCTGGTAGGGAATTTTCCCACCCACAGTCCATATCAATATGATCAATCCTGCACAGACACCCTCATCTCCCAGGTAATTCTAGATTCTATCAAGACAACAGCTAACACTAACCATCCCATCTGGTTTATAAGGTGCCTTTAAATATAGAAAAAAAATTAAGCAAGGGTCAAGATTTGGTGAAAATTGCAGAACACTTATTAGCCATATGACAAAAAGCTTGCATGGGGTTCCCCTTTGCTGTGTCTACTGTGGCTTCACCTGCTACTGACATCTATTATAAACGCATTCTGCCTTTTGGGTTTCACAGCTCACCTTTGATCTCTGTTAAAATAAACAGTTCTCAAACTCAAGTCCACACATACATGGATCAGGCTGGAGCCCGTTAACCCCAGGGCTCAAGCCTTCAGTTCCCCTGTTTCTTGAGTGCTCTGGAGGGAGGGTGGTGTTGGACATTCTGTAGGAAGTGAAGTTTGTTTATGAACCATAGTTGTGGTGGGTTCCGAGGGTGGAGATGGGGGCAGGATAGCTGTGGTTGCGTAAGTCCGTGGAAGCTGGCCTAGGACTGTGAAAGAAATCACAAGGGAGCTTGGGGGTGGGGTGGGGGCAGATCTGCAGAGAGTTCTCAGTCGTTAAGTCTCTTTCAAGCTCAGACAGGTTTGT